GAACTTAGATAAGAGAATTCAGGATTATTTGTGATAATTGTAGTTGGTGATGTAGGTGCGTCTATGTATTCGTCTGTGGTTGAGATAAGAGCAGTCGAGGTATTTTGTTGATTTGGAGTTTCATTTTCTTGCGGCGATTTTGGAAAATCGGTTGCATAATTTTTTCTATACCAACGTACTTTGAATTCGGCAAAGGTTTCGTTAGGTTTTTTATATTGATTGTACCGTTGTTTTAAAACGGAACTCATTTTTAACAAAGTTTATTGTTGATAGTAGGTGCGCAAGAGTTTATTTGTAGAAAAACGTTTATTTTATTAGTGCGAAAAGTCAATAGTATACTTTCGCTTTATTAAAGCTCGTCAGTTGATTACAATTTTTCGCAAAGAAAAAAAGTTATAAAACTGTTCTACTTATTTAAAGAAAATCTGTTAAACAAAATAAATATAAAAAAGGAAAAATTTAATAGTAAAATAACGATAAATATAGTAATTTCATAGTAAAGATAAATATAGTAATATTAAAATAAGATAGATATGCAAGTAATTTCCGATCGGAAATTAGTTTCCTTTTAGGGTTAAATTCGGAGTTTAATTTATCCAGTAAATTAAATCTCCGTAAATCGGTTAAATTAATTTTACCATTTTATCTATTTATAGTAATTAATTTATCCGTTCGATTTAGGTCACATGTCCTTAATAGTCATAAATTATTGGTTAGGGTTAGGGATAGGGTTAGGGTGCCCAGTTGAGGACTGGGCAAGGATTCTGACTAAAGATGGCATGTTTGTGACACATAAGACTGGCTTCTGTATCCCTAATATTCCTAGTGTTTCATTATATAATTCTTGTAAGATTTTTGAATAGTTTTTCGTTTTAAATAATATAGAATCATATTGTACTCGGATTATTATAGGTGGTAATGGCTTGTCTTCTGTTCGTTTTGTATTTATTTGAAGAAGAATATTATCTCTATCCTTCCACTTAATAGTATCAGCTTCTTTTAGAATATAGTTTG